ATTGCATGGAGGGGATTGTAACCATGGCAATGAGACAATATAGGATAGAATGAATGTAAAACTAATGTTCTACCATGTAAACTATCATATAATTCACAATAAAACATTTAAGAAAAAAAAAAGTCAAGTGGTGGTGGTGGTGTGCCGTGGAGTCGGTTCTGACTCATAGCGACCCTACATAGGGTTTCCGAGGCTATAAATAAATCTTTATGGGAGGAAAAAGCCTGATCTTTCTCCAAAGAAAAGCTGGCAGTTTCGAAATGCTGAGCTTGAGATTAGCAGCCCGACTTGTAACCACTATGCTACCAGAACTCCTTAAAAAGTAAAGTAGTGATAGCTACTTTTTAAAAAAAAAATTATGTGTTTTATTATTGTGAACTCAGTGATAGTTTACATGGGAGAAAATAACCTTTACACTCATCATTTCATTGCAATGATTACAATCTCCGTGCATCATCATTCAACAGTACTTGCTTCCATTCCCTCTGTTTTTTCTGTTTCTTTCTTTTCTTTTTTTACTGGGGGGAACAGGGAGTGTATGCAAAAACACTCAGGAATATATAATAATTTAAATAACCAGAGGGCACATTCTGCAAGCCTGCTTCCTGGCTGCCAGCTCTCAGTCCTTCTCTTTCCATGAATCTAAAGTCCTCAACTGCTCTCTCTCTCCATGACCCCATCTCTGCCTCCGTCTCTGGTATCGCTGCTTCTCTGGATAGGGCCCTGCATTCTGCTTGTGCTCTTCTCCCTTGGTGGTCTTAGGGTCCTTTGTTTCTATACTGTAAGATTAACTGCTCCCCTGTTTTTGTTACAAAACTTCTACCTTTACAGTTGTGACAGTCGCAATTAGTTATGATAACAATTACTCACTAGTGAATCTTAAGAATCTTATCCCCATCTCTTTTCACCAGACCCCTCTAGACAAGATGAAAACTATTCAGTGGGGACTCTATATTCCCTTGCGCTCTTAAACTAAACTCCCTCTTGAAAACTTGTAAGCCAGTCACTTTGTGCCTTTATCACCCCCTCGGTAGCTAATGCCTAAGTAGTCTGTCCCTGTCAACCCTGTATACAGAGAAGATAGGACTGATACTTGATGTGAAGATTCCTTCCCTCTCAGTTGGTATTTTGAGCTACTACATCCATAAATATAGTCCAAGTTCATCAAACTGTAGCAATTTATACTAGTTTCCATGATCAAAAATCATTTTTGAAGAGACTATGACGTGGAGAGATGGAGCAGCTGGAGACTTCAGACACAGAGAGGGAGAGGGGCTGTGTGCTGATGACTGGGGGGGCAGGCTTGAAGGGTATACCCTTTGATTGGTTGATAATGCATGGAGGCGATTGTAACCATGGCAACGAAATTATATAAGATAGGATGAATGTAAAACTAATGTTCTTCCATGTGAACTATCACATAATTCACAAAACATTAAAAACAAAAAAAAGTTTTTGAAGTGATAGCTATTTAAGGTAACATTAATCACCTTATTTTATTTAGAGCTGATGATAGGTCCCCCAGGTCCCTCCAAGTCTCTCCTACTATGCTGAACACAAGATCCATTCCAATCATTTTATTTATGTTTTTTTCTTTTAACAACTATTGGAGACTTGTCTGGACTCAGCAATTTATATAAGTAATATAAATATAAATAATATGGTAGTGGCGGTATGCCATGGAGTCGGTTCCAACTCATAGTGACCCTGTATAGAGCTTCTGAGGTTGCAAATCTTTACGGGAGCAGAAAGTCTCATTCTTCTCTTATGGAACAGCTGGTAGTTTTAAACAAACTGCTGACCTTGATTGAGGTTAGCAGCCTGGCTGGTAACCTCTGTGCTACCAGAACTCCTTATAAATAATACAAGCATAAATAATAACTAACAAACACCAAAAAAATTGCAATGCATCTATCTCCACCCCTACCCCTGGTCTCCTCCAAAGCTTGCTTGGGAGTGAGCAAAAGATTTGGCAAAGGAGATACTAGAACCTGAGTTCCTTGTCCCGGTTCTGGCTTGAAGGCAGAGTTTTACCAGAACCTCTCCTGCTACAGAGGATGGTGTGGCCTCTTTGTGTGTGCTCAGAGCTATCGCTGACACCAAGGAAAAAAGGAAGCTGAGACCTGAGCCTCCGTCTGCTCCATAGCCTCCAACTTGGAGCCCAAATCAGCACCATGCCACCTCCCCACTGCTCCCATGTCCTCACACCTGGTGAACCTATCACTTGTGGGATAAAATTCAAGCCTAGTTTATGTATTTTTCATTCACCCTATCCACGTTCAACATTAACGGTACACTCATTAAAAATGTCAAAGGCACTATAGGGTTACATGTGGTCCTTAGAAAAGCTTGACCTTTTAAACTAACCCCACAATGATATTTACATGCAAAATAGACTTCATGACCTTGAAATGTATAAAGGACACACACACAATTCTTTAGCTTCTATATAAGAATACTTTATATGATCATGTAAGTTTCAGGTAGAAAAGAAACCTGGCAGGTATGGCATGCTATCACCCACATCATCTGATTAACAAGTCTTTTTTCCCTTCAAGTCTATGTTTAAGTGTCTCCTGCTAGAATGCTGCATTTTGTGAAATATACCAGGCAGAAATCCTTTCTGGAAAGATTCTTTAATACCTCCAAGTTCAAGTAATTGATGGAAACCTTTCCTTGGGGCCATGTGATGTGGATAGCTGAGGTCATCCTTGTTAATGGAGAAACATCTATCACAGGAGAGGGACCGGTGTTTGCGGCAGGGCCTGATAATTAATGTCATTCTGGGCTGTGTGTGTGCTTAGTGCAGCTAGCTTAGGCCCCAACCCCAAAGTGGGCCAAACACTTTCTCATCCTTTATTTGTCTGCACTTGAATTACTCAGAAAAATTAAAAATTTTAAAGTACTCACCTTATCTGCTTCTTCGACTTCACATATTTTCTCTATAGTTGAAGGGTTATATGTGGCAAACTTTTTTCCACTTTTGGATTCATGCCATTCGTTGTTGATAAACATCTAACCAGGAAAGAAGGTTTCAATGCATTAGGTTTAAATCAAAATCGTATTATTTTAACATGTGAAGAACCTTAGGTAATGTCTTGTCTGATCCTCCCCATCCCCCCACTTCCTTCCCAGCAACCCCCATGCTCAAAGTCATATGGCTAACCAACAGTGGACTTCAAATTTGAATCCACATCTCTGGAATCATAATCCAGAATTTGCTTTTGGAGAATTTGTTTGGTTAAAAGAAAACTAGCGTCATTTAGAATTTCTTTTCAACTTTTTTTTTTTTTTTTAATAGTAACATGAATTTTCAGATGCAATCATTGAATTTAATAAAGGGTATAAATTGAACTTCACACCCTCATAGTTTGGGTAAGATAAAATGGGATTTTAGGTGTGGTGCTGTGGGTTAATGTGCCAGACTGCTAAGCCGTTTGAACTGCAAGGTCGGTGATTCAAGCTCACCAGTTGCTCCTTGGAAACCGTATACTGGGTCGCTATGGTTCAGAATCGACTCGATGGCACTTGACAATAACAACATATATAATAGCAGACTATAGATGATATAGATATAGATATAGATATAGATATAGATACAGATACAGATATAGATATAGATGGCACTTAACAACAACAAATATATATAGATGGCCAAACTTCGTCTCTCATACTTTGGACACATTGTCAGGAGGGACCAGTCGCTGGAGAAGGATATTATGTTTGGTAAGGTGGAGGGTCAGAGATAAAAAGGAA